GGTGAGTAATAGAGCCACAGTTAGCATCCATTCCTGTCAATCCCAATATCCATGCTTATTCCATGTATTGTTCAGACCCTCTATATTAGATCGGTATTTTGATAAATATGGATATGATAGTTGATATTAGCAGTGTTTAAAAATTCCTAACGGGATCTGTACCTGAAAATTCACTTAAAAATTGTAATTGACATCACTTTATTTGACATCACATAGCCATAGTTATTTAGCAAAGTTCAATGTCTTTTAAGAAGTCAAAAAAGAGGTGCATCAGGGGAGACCTGCAGATGGCACTGCTGCCCACGAGTCTCTAAAATCTAACTCCGCTTTCTTAAAAAATAAATACATAAGGAATTACTTTAGGAATTATCCAACACTGATTCCAAAAGTTAAACTTCAACCAAGATTTGAGTGATTTATAATTTGCGTAGTTCCTTCCTATTTATGGGTGATATTGAAATTCAATTTAATGAACAAGGAGGGTAATGCTTAATAGCGTTCCAGCCCAGCAACAGGTGGAATACAAGTCTGAGTGGACGGGACACATGAATATCAATTAAGCTGAGGAAGAGAAAGATAATTGGATTCTTCACCTGAGTATAAGCTGCTGCCTGACAAATCAGATTACTTAGGAGTCAGAAGACAGATTGAGACTGCTGAGATCTAAAGATGAATGCCATCTTTAGAGTTTCCGAGTTATACATCAGAAAGCTAATGAAAACACATGAATACAAGTCTGAGGCATTGTACATAATGAGCTAGAATGACAGGTCTTTTATCATTGTATTTTTAGCCCTATCATGAATTTTTAAGAAAAGTTATAGCAAATTTCTTACCCTAAGTAAGTATAAGAGCCTTAGAAGACAAAAAGTCACTCTCTCTTGAGTAGTTAAGAGACAATGTTCTAGAGACGGAATACTGCAAGATTTGCACAGGGCTGTGTCTGGATGGTAAGAGTATCGGGGAGTTAAACTTTCTTCCATATCCAGATAATTTATAATAGATATTACTTTTTAAATAGGAAGTAATCTATACACACTAAATTAAAAAATAACCAAGACAATTGTTCTCATTTCCTCTACCTCTCGGTTTCAGGTTCTCTCTCTCACATATTAACACAGACCCCTTTTTGCTTTAAGGCTGGGGTCCCTTGCAGTAAATGTGGGGTGTTATTCTGCAGGATTTTCCTCCAGGGTTGAATCATTTACTCCCCCAGCTGCAGGAACATTGGGTGCCATCCTCTCTGGGAACTGTGTTTGGCTGCAGGGAGCTGCCTTATCCAGGCTTACATCTATGACCACAAGACATTGCTATAAGGGTGCAAAGACCCGGTCCCACCCCTTAGCCTGAGACAACTCTGAAAGTCGTCCCAGCTCCAGCTCCTCCAAAAGACATCAGCTGAGGTCTCTGTTCAAACATCTCTTCTGCCCCACCCCACCTCCGTCACTTTATTATAAGTGCTGTTAGCAAGTAAATCTCCTAAACACAAGTATTTTCTTCAGAGTTACGGGGACCGTGACCCTGGCAATGGATCATTTTTGTTTCTTTGTATGTTCAGTACTTTTTGACAGACCCTCAACATCATGATTTTTGCATTGCTGAATGCTGGATTTTGTTCTATTTCTTGAGTGTGAAACTGCTCTGGCACACAGTGTGTTACCTGAAGACTAAGACGAACGTATTAAAGCTTGCAAATCCACAGCAGCTTTTATTCTCGTACTGTGACCCTGCTACTAAAGAACAGCCATTTGAGGGTGCTAGCCGATGTCTCACGTAATACACACGCTCCATTCTGGCTGGGGAACATGAACTAGTCCCAGCTCTGTGAGGTTGAAGGACAGTTTGGTTTACTGCTTTCCAGTCATTTTTTCCCCTGGGTCTTGTTAATTATGCCTTGTTTCCTTCACCCTGTGCAAGTGACACTCAACAGAAAGCTCTAGGGAAGATTATTCTGCAGGTCCAGGGGATCTTTTCCTTTCAGTAGCTCCCCTAGTCACTTTGAAGTCTGTCATCTCTGGTATCTCAAGGCAGCGAAATCAATGGGCTTTATTTTACCACTGGGTTCTTCTGTGGCAACTGCCTCCAGGCAGGACTCCGGGGGAATCATAAGACCCACCTCCTTTGCTTTTCTCTGCTCAGGAATCATAGCCATGCATTACCTGTAGTCCAGTGTCTGAAAATAGTTGTTCTACGTATTTTGTCTGGCTTTTAGTTTCTAGGACAGAAAGGGCAATTCAGAGGCTTTGATACAAAAAAATACAATTCAGTTAGGCTTTGATATAAAAAATTGTTTGTTTTCCAATGAGCAAAAGTCAACACCGCTTTCAGTTGTCTTATACATTCTAATTCCTCAGAATATGTCCTGAGAGGTTCTCAGGAGAGATAAAAACAGCTAAAATGTACTTTTTCCCCAGTTCTTAATTTATAGAAGTTAATTCATTCTGAGTTGCTATGCTCCATTGTATCCAGACCTATTTTGGTGAACTGACTTTTCTTTCAATTTAGTTTAATATTCAAACTAGCTATCCATCATTTCTTTTCCCCAGAAAGACTTAAACACCACACATACACTCTTCGCCTTCAAAACCAGAGGGTAGTGTATCTGTTGGTGGTACAGATTGCCAGGCTATAAAAATTCCAGAACTGTTTAGTTCCATAAAAAAATAGGTAAAAAATACTGCCAATAATAGGGTAGAAAATACATTGCAAGATGAGAACAGAAAATTTGTAGCAAGGGGGTTTTAATCAGTAGAGATCTTAAACTCAATACAAGGCAAGAGGAAAGGACTTAAAAACTGAGCATGAGCCTGCCAAGTTCAAGATTTACATATATTGCCTCTTTTTTACTACCATAAAAACATGGTTAGGTAGACATCTCGTTCATATTTTATAGATGACGATATTCATAGTTTGTTTCCCAAGGACAGAATGGTAAGTCAGTGAGAAAGTCCACGTACTTTCCACTATTGCCACATAACTGGACAACGTGAGGAAAGCGGATCATTATGTGACACCAATTAGCAGAAGATATCGGGGAGGTGGAGGCCATAATTTCTGGAGTCAGAACTGTAATTTGTAAAATAGCGATATTGTCTGCTCTGGTTGAAGCCTGTGTACTCCCAGTTTGTCAGACTACTTCACACTTTCGCTCTCTTTAAATGTGCAACGTTCTCCCATCCCCACTTTCTCTTAACAGTTGATTTTGATTCTTATTCCCTAAGACACAAAAGCAATCAGAAGAGAATGTCCACAGGTAGCTAACATCAAATCGATCAACCAACCCATCCATATTTGAACTTAAAGACTCTGCCTGTCTTTCTGTTAGAATAGCATCTACCTATGTTCCAGCCTAGGCTAAGCCCTCTACATGTGCACTGATCCCAGATGCTTCCAGACTCAAGGGTATTGCTTCTGAAGATATCCTTTCTCAAATTTTCCCTCTCTACTAGATCAAAAATTTTCAACCAGTATGTGCAATCAGAACCTCTGTCTTATAATGAAAAGATATTTAATAAGACTCATCAATTGTTTATAAACTTTGTTTTGGTTCATGTCTGCCCAAAGCAATTGAGAGGATATTTTTGCTAAGGTCTCTTCTAGTGCTTTAATTCTAGGTTATTCTAGTAATACTAGCTAATATTTATAGAGTGCTTGTTCTATGCTAGATACCATACTAAATACTTTACATGCATTATCCTACTTAATTCTCACAATCCTGAAAAAGAGGCACTATTGCAATCTTCATTTTATAAATAAGAAAACTAGAGGAGGTAAGTAACTTGTCTGAGGTTACTAGCTAGTTAATAGCATAGCAGGACTTCAGTTCATGTTATTAAAGCACTACACCACGTGTTTTGTAATCTTAATTTGCAACATAATTCACATTATCATATACTTTTAAAGAAAGTTTTAGAATATAAGTACCTTGGAAAGAATTCTACTATGATACAATAATTTTATAGCCAGGGTTTCTGGGATAAAGGTACATTTGTAAGTTTCTGTCCAAGTTTTTATAAACAAATAGTAATGTCAAAGGGAACACTGTCATTCTACAGAGCAATAGTATGAAGTTACATTGAGAAATCAGAATATTCATTAGACATTAAGAGTTTATTACAATCTCAGAATAAAAAATGGAAGACAATTTGCTTCAAGTTTGTACGAAGTCAATCAAGCAGAAATCTGGAGAACACTGTGTTAAGATGAGAGGCATTTATACTTGGAATTTTCTTCCAATGGGGAAAAAAAAATCAAGCCACTGTGTTGTGCGACTTTTACATAAATATTTATTAAAAGGACTTAGGCACTGATTCCCAAAGCTGGATGAATACCAGAATCACCCAGAGTTGAGGGAATAGATTTACTGTTTTATTCATCGTCTTCACATATCTGGAACAATGAAAGGCACACAACAGCTGCTAAATAACTATCTTTTGAATGAATACATGATTGTTTTATACTGTCATACCTCCATCTTCTAACAGATTGCGAAAATAAGAATCAAGAATATATTGGACAAATGAATGACTAAAGTAGTTGGGATAATGTTTAAGGCAAAACCAAATCTTATAAAGTACATATATACTTAAACACACCTATAAATAGACCAAAAGTAGAAAAATAAAATACAAAAGAGTGCAACTTTTACAGCTGAGAACCAATTCATTTGAGCTTTCAAAATGTTCTTCACATTCTTCTACTTAGAAACAACGAAGTAAACCTAGACAACTAGTTCTTTATGCAGATAAGTTTTCTTTTACAAATAGAATTATAGCTTAATCTTGAACACAGTTCACTTTTCAGACTCGAAGTAAATAAAATTTTAGTACACATCATGACAGCTTTTCCAGATAGCTGTATTAAAAACAAAAGATTGTTTCTGGTTCAACTACTTGGTTCAACTACTGGGCATCATCTGTTTGTTATGTGCTCTCCACTGAGATCTGTTTAGTCTTGCATTAGTTAGCAGTCTCACATTGATAAGTTACTACTTTGGCACCTCCTGACATAAGGTTTTTATTTAGGAAGAACCTTATTAACGGCAGACTTCCTTTTGAGTAGCTAGATTCTCAGACATGGTTTCATTTGTCAAAGTTCCACAAGTATTACATACTTTTTAATTGTTAGTATCTTAGACTACGAAACTTTGGTTTTCTTAAGATCAGCACTGGTTGCTTGATTGCAGGTTTGTCCCCAAAAATTGCTGCTTCACTCTCCGTGGTTGGAAATCTTTTCTGATATATCAAGGGATATTCCTTCTGAAACTTAAAAATGAAGTGGAGGAATTAGAGAGTATTTAATATTATTTCCCTAGTTGAAACTAGTACTCAATATTTTGTAGGAATTCAGTGCCTTTCTCAAAGAAGTACTCCAGAGATGAGCATCCTTTCACTTTATCCTCCTCTTTCTCCTCAAATGTGGAAGGTACCCTGTAAGGTCTCTTAGACTCTAGTTAGCATGAACATCTAGGATTCTCTCCTGCTGCTAATTCTCCATCTAAACACCAGACTTTCTTCTTTCAATTGGTAAAGTCTATGAAGGTCACAGGGATCTAGTATAGTTTACTTTTGAGTGTCTGAGGCTTGGAATTAGGCTTGCCAGAATCATGTGGCTATTGGGATTTTAGAGCTATAATTTCTAAAAAATAGTGATGAGTTCATATTTTATAATTACTTTCCCAGGCTTACTCAAGCTATAATGATGCAAAACACCAGCAATAAAGAAGACTATATATTATTATTGTTATTATTTTAAAATTCAGGATAAAGAGTAAAATCAAGTAGGTACTTGTGTTTTAGAAGTACTTTAATGTACACACACAATGCAGCACAGTATATAGCCTATATACCCAAAATTTTAAACCTAAAATATTAAAATAGATTCTAAATGTTGTTAAATAATAATCAGCAAAAGCATATTAGAAAATATTTGCATGCTTGAAAACTTGCTCATTCTCTTACCTGTTTTAGTTTTTTCCTCTTCTCCTTTAGAGGCAAACTCTTGTTTTTAATAATATTCTCTAAAAGTTCTGTAATTGCAGCTTGAGAGGTAGAAACTTTTTGTTCATCAAACTCCTGAGTACTAATCTGCTTACAGTATGAATAAGTTGGCAAAGGAGCAACTAGTCCATCTCCAGAATTTTCAATCTACAGTGAACAAAATGATAAAAGTCTGAAAATTATGATCATGTTCTTATATGATAAAATGGTCTTATGATGGGATCCAGTACTTATTATTTTGAGACCGATCACACATTTGACAAATTAAGACAAACGATGTATTATATAGTAAAGGAGTAAGTTAGGAGGTGTAAATCCCAGCTCCAAACCACCTGGCTTTGTAGCCTTCAGCAATTTAATTTCTCTTGGTCTGTTTATTCAACGTTAAAATGGAGATTACATGAGAAAAGTATATAAAGTACTTAGTGCACAAAAAGTAGTAAAGATAGCCATTATCATTACTATTAACAATGAATTTTATTATTTTAACTATGAAACAATAGCAATCTAAGTAATATTCCAATTCATTTAAAAACATTAATGTTCTGATTTAACGTATTATTTTGCACATACATGGTCAACATATTTACTTAATTGGAAAATGTTTAGTTTTTAAACTTTTTTTAATTTTAAAGATGTGGGGCACAATTCAGAATTAGGTAATCAAGTGGTCATCGTACAAGTAAAGTTTGGGCCTTCCTTTGGTTGCCACTTCACCTAGTTTGAGATCAGGTACTCTTACTGATGTTAATATACCCCCCTCCTTCCCAGGCAGTGCCCTGCTACTACCAATCCCTTTCTTATTGTATTGTGATAAATGTTCAGGGTCTGCTTATGAGTGAGGACATGTGGTACTCTCAGTTCTTTGTTTCTGTGATAGATCACTGAGTGTGATAGACTCTAAATCCATCCAAGTTGCTGCAAAGTTCATAATTTTGTTCTTTTTTATGACTGTGTACTATTCCACCATGTATGTATATTACAGAAAAGTTTTTGGTTTTTATCTACTCTTTTTGAGGCCTACGGACATGAGCAGAGCCCCTAACATCTACAGATAAGAGAGACAAATTTTAGGAGATAGTTATATTAGGCTGATGCATAAGTTCATAGTTTTTATTTTGGGCATGGCAACACTACAGTGTTGGGAGTTTATTGTTTCTCATTTGTCACATGGAGTGACAATGCTGTGCTTGTGAATACACCTTGTGAAGAAAGTTAGTGCCATTTGTGGGCTAAACAAGTTGGAGTCAAGTGGAAAAAATGAGCCCTTCCAACATACTCTTCTGTTTGAGTTTAACAGAGAGGTAAAGGCAGCAAAGGTGGTTCAAAACACACTTGAGCCATGTACAGGGAGAATGCATTCAGGGAAAGCATGGCAAGAAAATGGTTTTGACATTTCAAGAGGGCCCATTTGACCTGAGTGATTTTCCACATTCAGGAATACCATTGGGATTTGGTGAAGACCATTTAAACGCTTTAATCCACGATGGCCCATGACAGTTAGCCCGAGAATTGGCAAATGTGATGTCAACTATCATGTGACAATTGCACTCTATGGGCAAGTGAAAACACTACGAAGTTATGCATCAATCCGGTAATTACGGGCCAGGGCAATCTTAGAATGGTTTATATGGGAAAGACAAACAAACATGTGTCGGGCGGCCAAATACTGAATACAGTAAATGTCTGTGTTCGCTGCTCAGTGTTCTTTCTCTCTTTCTTTTAACAGTTCCTTCCCACTCTATCCCCTCTGCCTGTGCCTTTAGTGAAGAGCCTCCTTTGATTTATGGAGAGCCAACCAGAACGTCCCTCTTCCTGTCCTACTCACTCTCAACCATCCAAGGGATGCACATTTAACCTCAATTGGGCCAATCAGGTGTCCATACCCAGAACTTTTCCAATTGGAGGTGGAGGGACGGCTCTTTTCCCTCTGAACTGTAAACGTGAGGATATGACTTATGAACTTTAACCAGTCATATTCTTCGTCATGAAGTAACCAGTGTCAAATAGGATCAGAATGGAAATAAGAGATGGAGGGATGGAAACAAAGACCTATAGCTGCCCGAGTCCCAGATTCTGTCTACGTTCCTGACTTTTAGAGATTATGTGAGCTGATAGTCTTCCTTTCTGATTATGCTAGTTTGAGATGAGTTTGCTACTCACTACTGACTAAAGCAGAGAATTTTAAGACTCGCAATACCTACATGTCCCTTTTTTAAGTAGTCAAGGTGTTTTTCCACTGCACTCTGTAAGTAAGTGGGTACTTGAAGGATTTCCTGTTGATGATCCATTAAGAAAGAAACTAATCTTGCAGCAAGAAGCTCATCAAGATCCACTTCTTCAGCACAGCATAGCACACACCGAGAAAAAGTGTGTATCATCTGGAAACATTAAAAGACATGCGTTGAAAAATCTAAGGCTTCATATAAATTAGAATGTCAGTAATTTCCAGGTAGCATTATGTGAAGTAGTGAGATCAAGTGATAAGCAGACTTCGGCTTAAAAATGAGGACAATGATTTATACAGTTGGAAAGATAAGAATTTTATCATGCTTAAGTCCTTTTAAAAGTATTTATTTAACATAATTCCAAAAGATTATAAGGCTCAGGTTTTTCTATAATTTTGTCACAGCGTTATTGGTGAATACCATAGGTTCTCTTAATACCATGCAGATATGTTGCTTAAGCTTAAAGACTGTCAGAGCACAATAACTTAATACATTAAATGCATCCCACAAAAACACACACCAGGAGAATATAGAACACACAGAACACACATTCATTAGCTGTTGCAAAGTTAGCACCATTTATGTTTTGAAACTCTGGACAATAGTTTTTAATGCTTATTGTACACTCTTTAAGTAGCAATTTAATACACACACTTTTCAGTTCTGTTACAAGAAGCTTCAAATCCTCGATAAATTTTGTGTTTCAAACTCATTAGTCTCACTCATATCTGTGTAACCTCCTAACTATAAAACACACACACACACAGATGCACCACTCTCTAATTAGAATATCAGAATATCAGAATATCTATATTAACTATTCACACAAAGTAGATGACCAGCATGTTTACTGCACTGTACAACTTGGAGTTGTCCCACACACATCACTCAGTTCTTCCCGTCCCCTTCCGAGGCTCAGTCCTCAGCCTTTTGCTCTTTCTCGACACTCATAGTCTTGCAGAGCTCATCTACTCTCACAGCTTCGATTTCCACCTCTACGAGGATGACTCAAAACATCTGCCTTCTGCTCTGATCTTTCTTCAAACAGGCTCACATTTCCAACACTCTGTTGGACAAACTTCATTGGATGTCCTGTAACTTCAAATCAAAGTGCAAAATCAAAGTCATCACATGCCCACTTTCACCTATCAAAACATTTTCCTGTAGAAATGTTCTATGCTTTCCAGTAATGCCATAATTGAACTTTTTATATTTGGTCTGCCATCCTGAAAGAACTGTTCTTGATGAGCGGGAGAGGAGAGAACGGATCCAGATTCTTTGCTTTAAGAACCTCTCGCAGGCCAGGTGCAGTGGCTCAAGCCTGCAATCCCAGCACTTTGGAAGGTTGAGGCGAGAGGATTGCCTGAGCCCAGGGCTCGTGACCAGCCTGGGCAACTTGGTGAGACCTCATCTCTACAATAAATAAAAAAAATTAGCTGGGTGTGGTGGTGCGCGCCTTGTCGTGCTAGCTACTTGGATGGCTGAGGCAGAAGGATCGCCTGAGTCCAGCAGATGGAGGCTGTAGTGGCCGGGAATGTGCCACTGCACTCCAGCCAGAGTGACAGAGTGAGACTCCAACTCAAAAAAAGAAGGGGAAAAAAAAAACCCCATGTAAAGTAAAGCTGCCTTTTGAGGAAGTGGCAGCTCTTAATAAAAAAGGAGATTAGAGATAGTATTTCGAGGATTCCTCTCTGATCTCTTATCTGCCTACAAATGTCTCTATCCTCATCTTCACAAGAAGTCTAAGACTGCTTGACACTAGGACCTCCCAGTTTCTTCTCCACAATGATCTGCTTTCCCATCACCATGCTCTTGGAAACACATTCCCTTCCTGCAGTACGTCCCAGTAGTCCTCCATGTCCAGTTACAGTGCTCTCAAGTTTTTGACGGTACACAAACCTCTTCTTCCTTCTCCACTAAACAGAATTGGCACAAGGAAACACATGATGTGGTCGGCCTAGTCAATCACTATGAAGTGATACAGGATAAGTGAAGAGCCAAGTTCCTGAGTCAAGACTAGCATCAAGATGTGAGGGTATAAGAGAGCACACACAAAAGATTAATGTAAGACATTCTGCTGCGAGGAAAGGTTAGCGTTTAAAGAGCCTTTCTAACCCAAGAATCTGGGACTTCAAGACCAAGATATCATTTGAGTAGTGCTTTCAGATAGTTTGACTTTCATTATTTGGTTTATGAACTGGGTTTATTCTTTTAATAAAATCAACTTACCAGTGATCTTGTACCCATTGCATCATGAAGTTTGGGCATATCAACATTTTGAGTCACTCGGGAAATCATACGCATTAAAAGTTGAAGCTTTCTACGATTTGGTGGGGGAAGTAACAAACAACATAACTGTAGTGCATCGATGGCAACCCTCTCTAAGTGAGGTTGCAGCAAACCTAGAAGGCAAAGTCCCCCCCCCCAAAAATCATCAGTGACACTAGTTGCTTTCATACTACCAGTACATACAGTTATATAAAGAAGGTAAAATAATATCTTAGTATTTCATTTATTGTAACTACTTCTAGAGAGTTCCACATTCTTCAAAAGCATGGTAAGATTCTCATGATTTTCTTTACAACCTATTTCTAAGTATTAAAATCCTTCACTTACTACAAATAAAGTGACACAGAATAAGTGAAATTGCAGGAAAAGAAAAGTGCATGAGGTAAGTAGAATAAATCTCAGTTATGCCATGACAAAAGTCTCTCATAATGATTCCTCTTGAGGGGGAGGGGAGCAATCTCAGAGAAAAGCTAGGCAAGCAAAACACAGTTAGTAAACATTCAAGTTAACAGTGCATGCATTGAAAGCAACAACCTTACTTTGTGTGCCAGTCAACATAGAAGCTGGAGGTAAAGAATTTTCTGAAAGTTCTATCGTGCTTTTGCAGAGTCTTTGATTGATTGTGATACTAGACTTTCCAAGTTCACTTGTCATAGCTGTGTGCACACTTGTGCTGCCTTGTCCAAGGTTTGGTTTCATAATAATTTCAGCCACTGGTGTATTGACACAGCTATTCCTCCTTGTACTACTTCTTAAAAGCAAACTCTGAGACCTACGAAGCTGTTTTGACTTGCATTTCCCATTACATAACGCCTCTTGGTCTTGGACAGTCAAAATAGAGGTTCTTTTAAAACCAACACTGAGTGGCTTTTGAATACTCTCCTCTGAATGAAGATTCAATAGGAATTGCTGTTTGGGCTCAGTCTCTAAAAACTGTTTATTATTTTGTCCTTCTAAGTTCCGAACAGATTGACGGAAGACACAGGATCCCTCTTTGCTTGAATTCCCTGGCACATCTACAATTCCTTCCAAAGAATAGCACCTTGGTTTGATGTTAGAGGATAAAACATGCATGCTATTTAAGCCAATTAAATTATGACAACTTCCTCCCATTATGTCATTAGCACTTTCTCTTCTGTTTCTTAAATTAGTTAGCTGAGTTTTCTTAGCACGTCTTTCGTTAAATCCTCGATCACTTATCTGTAGTCTCTCAGTAGAATCTGATTCTTCTTTGCTTTTGTCTTTATGAAGCAGACTCAGAAGAAGACATTCAGTTGATTTGAAGGAATTCAAATTGTTTAAGTGAAGGATTTCTGAAGACTGTGGATCATCTTGAATTTTATGTATCCCACTGGGTCTATCTGAAACTGTGATGTAGCCACAAACAACTACCAGGAAATGAAACAAAAATTAAGATGCAACTGTATGACGGTAGACAAAATAAAAATAGTCAAGTATAAAAATAAAGCATCATTATAGGATATATTGTTAGTAGAGTACAAACAGCAGTTGCTTAATTCAGAAGCTACTTGGACACATGCAACATTCAGTTACAAACGTGCAAGACTGATTAGTTGTTTCCCCACTTGTGATATAAATAACTTAAAAATTATTTCCACAATTTAACTAAATGAACTGAACCCAATACATTAAAAAACATCTGCCCTCAGTCTACAAGTCTAGAAATCTCTTAACTTTTTTCCCCTCTTTTCTTTGAAAAAGGGTCTTGCTCTCACCCAGGCTAGACTGCAATGGTGTGATCATAGTGCATTGCAAACTCAAACTCCTGGGCTCAAGAGATTCTTCTGCCTTAGCCTCCTGAATAATTAGGACTATAGGTGTATGACACTGCACCCAACTACTTTTAATTATTTTGTAGAGATGGGGGTCTCACTGTGCTACCAATGGCTTCAAACAATTTTTCTGCTTCAACCTCCCAAAGTGCTGGAATTACACATGTGAGCCACCAAACCTAGCAAAACCTCTTAATTATAAGATAACTGTGGTATAATAAAATACATTTATTTGTTTGTTTGTTTTTTCCTTGGTTCCTGGCACGGAGCTCTTAAACCCTGGGAATTTCCTGAATGATGAGTCTTTTGTTATTCATAACAAGCCTATTTGAGCATACCTGAGTTTATGCTAAGGTGACTCATGTCTGGCCATGCTTAGGGGATTGGAAATTTCAGTACCACTTGCAACCTCCTGAGAACAGAATAGGGCTGGAGATTGAATGCAGTCAACAATGGGCAATGCTTTAAGCAATCATTCCTAAGTAATTAAAACTCTGAAACAAGCAGGCCACAGGAGCTCCTGGATGGAACACATGGAAGGGTAGCATGCCTGGAGAGGACATGAAACCCTGTGCCACTGCCTGTCTCCATACCTTGCTCTGTGTGCCTCCTGTTTGGCTCTTCTTGAGTTCTAGCCTCTATAATAAACTGATAAACACAAGTAGAACAATTTTCTGAGATCTGTGAGTTATTATAGTGAATTATGGAACCTGATGGGGTCAAGGGACCCCTCTGTAGTGAGGACAGTCTTGAGGAACTGAGCCCTGTGTTGTGCAGATAACTCTGAGTAAGCAACGTCAGAACTGAATCAAATTGTAGGACATTCAGTCGGTGTCAGGGAGAACTGGTGTTGAAATGACATGTTGGAATCATTGGAAAATGAACAACAACAATCAGAGTATCACTGAATTTTAAGATAATTTGTAACCTGCCACCTTCATATGTGCCTGTGCTTTGGGGTCTTCTAGATTAAGAGAACCTCAAAAACTTTTAAAAATAAATTGAAATAAGTAAAATCCATACATACCCAAAATGTTCACAAATAATTCATAATATTCAAAGGTAAGTAGAGGCTCAGGGAGATCCAGAAAGTAATCTGCAATTGTTCTGAATACATCTCGTTCAAACCCAACATAAGTTGGATTACTCATATCATTACTTCTTGGCCCTAAGAAGTAGAAGGCAAAAGATACAGGCAAAAATATATTTTAATTTAAACAGAATTTTCAAGTATAAAACATAAAACCTGTATGTCCTGAAGAAGCTTTGTATAACAACAAATTCTGCCATACTTCAAACATTTAAAGGGTTGTGCACATCTCATTTCTTATTATCTCTTATTAGAAGCAGTCAGTTGCTAGTATTTTATTTTAATATTTACACACCAAAAATTGTACATAAAGCAAAATTCCAAATATTACATTTAAAAGAATTAGGGAAGTTTATTTTAATGAGATTTTATTGCAACTCATTTGTCAAACAAAGAATATTTGGATAATGCAAATAATCCCTCCAAACTGTCCTTTGTAAATTTACATTTTCATGAATAAATTTTGCTTGACATGAAGCATAGCCTTAATGAACTTAAATAATGTCTTCACATTGTTGTTTCTTAAGCGTAACATGAGTACGAAAGCAATCAGGCCTACACGTTAGTGTTTTCCTCAGAAACAAGACCTGATCTCACTTTCTACATAAGAAAACGGAAGCTTGGAGTAACTTGTCCAAGATGAAAAAGGTTTTGGTCACAAAGCTGGAGTCAGAGTCAAGAAGTGAAGGGGAGCGAGGCCCAGGACTCTCGGGTTCAACACCACTTGAAGTGGGCCCATGAGTTCCTGACCAGAAAACGTTCACTTCTGGTTCACCAGTTGAGTAGTTTCCAAACACTGACCGGAGAACCTTCATTGTCATAATCTTCTAGAGGCACGTATAGGAAAAAAAATCCTGATCTACAGAATCAACTGAATCAGAATCTTCAGAGATTCTCCCTCGTGACTGTGGTATGCATTTAAATTTTAGAGTCATTCTCTCTCTTTCACGTTAAAACTCTCTTCACAAGCTCAAATAGTATTTACTTCTCTGTCTCCAGACTTTTGTACGGTCTCAAAATGTGAGCACACACATTGAAAAAAGCATTAAAGAAAACAATTCTCACACACACTCTCTCTCTCTCTCACACACACACATACACTTAATAGCTTGAAAACGAATGTGGGTTTTACATAGGGCAAATAGCTATTTTTTTCCTAAGAAGAAGGCTATAAATATGTGGAATAAAAGATGTGATAGTCATGAGAAAGGTTTATAAGATAGGCATAAAATACATGTCTACTGGAGTTAAAAAGACAGCATTTATAGTTAGAGAACATAGGTGTGACCTCTGGCTCCTCTGCATTAACAGAAGACTCTCTAAGACTTGGTTTGCCCTGTTGAAAAAAACTGGAGATGAAACACTGGTTACTGATTCCTACATCTCACAGGATTACTCTTGGGGACTGAAAAACAAGCAAAAGTCAATACTGCCTCAGGCTAAATACATTGTCGTTGCTAAACTGGAATCAAGCAAGTTACATAATTGTTATCATTTAGGCACAACATGGACTGGGAAGAGAGGGAAGACATCCACTCCTGAAGACAGGATGCCAGAAGAATCCTTGTCAGTGTGCTTGTCTCAGTTTCTAACTAAGAGCCAAGGCGTGAAGGCGGTGGTACTTAGGTAAGGATGGTAGAAAGAGAAACTCAGGTCTTGAGTTCATGACCAAGATCTTTTCCTTCATTTGATAAGCAAGGTATTTCAGTAATCTGGTATTATTTACTTTGTTGCTCTTTATCCTATGTTATTTGTCATGTTGACACCCAGTGGACAACAAAGGAATATAAACTTATCCTGAACTCTGATAAAACCCCACTAGTATTTTAGGAAATACTAACTTTATAAGAAGCAGAAAACTGCATTTGTAACTAAAATTATTAAAATGTAATTTATCTTTTGATGATTTAGAAGCCTATGTCTTTGTGCATCTTTAAAATTAACTTGGAAAGCAATTAAAAATTTGTATTTGAACCAGGATCTTAAAAATCAACTATAAAATAAAAATCAATCACCACTGATCACTATGGAAAAGCATGATCAATGAAATGTTAAAAAATTTTACTGACCAGTGATAGACAATCTTTTTTCATAAACATAAAAGTCCCATCAATGGGTTCTATGGAGTAGAAGCACATTATAGAGTGCCTGAATGCTGAAGACACGACCAATGGCAAGGGAATGGGAGCAGGCTTTGTGAGACACTTCATTTCTGGTTGAATTTTCTGCTTACAAGCTCCTTTACTTACCAGTGGTCATTTGAACTCTCTGGGCCTCACTGAGGCAATTTGTGTATGGCCATGTAAGTGGCCATATAATTCTTATGACAGTATATATTAAAATTTAGGCAACAGGTATAGATTTTACCTAAGGATTCTTTGAGGCCCTCTAGCCTATACTTTTATGATTTATGTGAACTGAGCCATAAATGATGGGCTTCAATTATCTAAATATTGGGGCTCTTTCACTGTGAGGCTTGCTTGAGACCTTTCAGTTGCCACAAACGAAAGTAATGTTGCATAGAAACGTTAAGGGTTCCAAAATGTAACCAATTCTACTAGACTTTCATTTAAACATCAAGAGAAATGACACACTAATTTTACTAGGACTTTCATAAGTTATTTTTAAAATTTCCTTGCTTCTTGTTAAATACTGCCAATATAAAACATATATATATTTTGGTTTAACTTACAATTTGCTAGGCACTTCATGGCAGATAATACCCAGTGAGGTAGGTCATCTACACAAAAAGAAAAATTAACATTGCTGAATAAATCTTAAACATAATTTAAAAGTTCAGACCTATGTGTAAAATTACGTGTGTGTGTATACACACACACACACAAGGCCATGTATGAACATCTATCAGTATATATTACCAGGATTAAAAATTATGTTTAACAAGACATAGGGTGAAGTCAATATTTTAAAATTAAATAAGAGAGATACTGAGTTTGACTCTTGTTCACATTACACGCAACAATTAGTTACTGTAAAATAAATTATTTTCAGGGAATGTTCAGACATAAATTCAACATTCATCTTCACTACCATCATTTTCTCTTTATCCTGTTTCTGATCTGCCTATTGCTGTGCTACTTGAGATCATCACTGATTTGGGTGAGACTTATCATTGAAATGAACTCTATCTAAACCTTGGGGCTCTCTCACTGTGAGGCTTCCTTGAGACCTTTCAGTTGCCACAAACGAAAGTAATGTTGCATAGAAACTGGAGCAGTTTTTCAACACAAACACACAAACCATAAATATAGTTGACTTGAAAAGTTTATGGCTGCAAAGAATAGAGATCTTAAGTGAGAGCATATAACCTTAAGTATGGTATTTTAGGTAATGGAAGAATGCCACATGCGTATGTCACATAGCAAATGCATCAATTTCAACATTTACATTTTGCTCCTACAATTAAAAATTCAACGTTCTTGCCCACATAAAAAGAAACCCAAAGTAATATATGTTAGTTAATTCAATAGGCAGCAATTTATTATAAAAATATGAGCTGCCATTCTAAGAGTAGATTTAATTGACACATTTCTTATAATCTAAATTTTTCAATACATCTGACTTGTGTTATTTTCCGGATTTTCCTATCTATATCTGAAATCAAAATACCAAATAAATATATAAAATACAAAAAAGCCAGTGCCCTTTAGAGTTCTCATCTTGAGAGTCCAGACTTGTTTATTATGTGCTACTGTGGTTTTGCATATATGTTTTGACCCCTATCAATCTGTATATAATTTCTCATGAAGTCATGGACCACTTCTATCTTTTTATCAGTACATCTTTAGCATAATGCCAGACACGTAGGTCGTCAATAAAAATGTAGTTAATCAGTAGTTTTTGTTATTATACTTGTATACCTCTTAGATGTTTAGCCCTGTCATATTTTTTAAAAATCACACTTGAATCCATCTTAGCAGCTAAAATATCTCCTATAATAGCAAGAATAGTATTCACTTAAAAATGATTCCACTATTATTAAAGCACCTGTGATGATAAAACAATAGTCCCTCTGATCCCTCAATGAAAAGTACCCAACTTTCAACATCTGGGTTTCTCTGCACCTCCTTTGTGATTAAGTTTGAAAAAAATTCCAAGTCTTTTATTAATACCAACCTGATTTGTCTTGCAGTATGACTACTCCGTGTTTACTTGTATTGGCCATGTTGTACATTATATACTGAGGAATTACTTGTTTTGGATCTATGACTTCTAGTGATGGCACGCCTAAAATAGTTTGCAGGCTAAATAGAAAGAGAATATAAACTTTTTTCTTCACCAAATAAATAGACTATAACTGAATATAACTGGCAAACAGAGCCATTAGAATATTAATTTTTTCTTAACCAAACTTCTAATGCTTATATTTAGTATTCACTTTCAATTATATTTAACTTGATAGCCTTTGAAGGATTCTATTATATACTCTAAATTATGGTTGCGATGCTGATTCAGAAGAAAAGCACATCATACTAAAAAATTCTATTTTTACTCTACTGGAACAATTGTAGCAAGAGCATTCATTAAAAAACATGTATACAGGTTAAATTCTAAGCTTTGAGAATTAATCTGTTCTTATCATTTGCATATTTTGACAAAAATGTCAAATTAATAATCAAAACACTATAAGAACTTGATTAATTTTATCTTACTAGACCAGAATAACATATCTCCAAACTTCTTCAATATCTTCCTGGCTTATTTCTCTATTATCAATTGATTTTTCTTGATCTTTGATTATTTCATGCTTTATTTTCTCAGCATTTTCCTGAAAAAAAAAAAAAAGAATTATTTGGGCTTTATGTGTTACTTTCAAATTTTAAAATTGCTGAAAATAATATTAATTCTATTAACATCAGTCCATTATGGGGCTAAAAGGTGTTTCCCAAAGAAAAAATGTAACATATAGTAATAGTTTTTGATTTTGCAGGTATCCCCACCACCCAAATCAATTTAAAACAAAATACTTAAATTACACATAAATAGTGTTTTCAAGTTAGGTCTCACTACCATTTTTATCACTGTTTTTATGGGCTCCAAACAATTTTATGGACATACTTTTCGAGTATAATGTAAGTTAGGAGATTTCAGTATTGGCTTCAAGTATTAAACAATCATTTACTTTTAATGAATCTATTATTAAGCACATGCTAACTATATTTAAACTAGTAATCACCTGAGAGAAATGCAATCCATGCTTTTTAGGAGTTCTACGAGACAAGTTTCGTAATTTAAAAACACTATCTTTATCTTTAGAGAAGTTCTCTGTGCTATTTCTTCTCAATTCTGGATGCCTTCGTGGAAGAGCTTTAAGTGGAGAAGTTGCAGGAAATCTGGTTTAAAAATAAAAAGCAATTAAATAATGTGAGATCAGAAACAAACTTCCAGAGCCTATTTGTCTTAAAAATCCACAATCTTATTTAATACACATTCTGTATAAGTCAATATTACCATTAAACCATTACAATATTTATTTATTTATTTATTTATTTATTTATTCATTTATTTTGAGTTGGAGTCTCACTCAGTTTGCCCAGACTGGAGTGCAGTGGCCGCTTCCAGCCACAGCAGCCTCGACCTGCTGGGCTCCGGCAATCCTTCCATCTCAGCCTTGCGAGTAGCCAGAATTACAGGCATGCGCTACCATGCCTGGCTGATTTTTTGATTTATTGTAGAGATGAGGTCTCGCTGCCCAGGTGGGTCTCGAACCCGCGGGCTCAGGCAATCCACTCACCTCAGCCTTCCAAAGTCGCGGGATTACAGGCGGAGCCACCGAGCCCGGCTCATTACAATATTTTAATAGTTTCCTGCTTTCTTTAGTACATTATGCATATTCTATTTCTGGATAATTCAGAGTTATTTTTAGGATCCAATCTGTTAGAGATGCATTGCTTACATACAAAATGGCTATAGAGTGCTACATTGTCTAAACTCTTATAATGAGTTATCTAGTTTGTAGATATTTTTTTTCTTTTTTGTTGACTGTATTAGGACAATTTCCAGAACTTGGTTTCTGCTACTTCTTTTTGATTATAATGTCTTTTCCTCCTTTCATTTTAATATAAAATATGTAAAAGATAGAAGAGAGTACAGAAAAATATAAAACTACATCCAAGTATGTAACTATCAACTAACATAATTGTTGACATTCTGTCAGTAAATGAAAGAAATTTTTTCCTCATCCCATTTCTTTTCACTCTGCCTAAGAGAGAGGAAACTGCAAACTTACAGCTTTATATCTCTAAACCTAGTTAGTATATTTCCTTCTTGTTTGTGCTTGTATACTTTTAATAAATGTACATAAACAATATAATTAGACCTTTCTAAATTAATTTCAAAATTTGATCATCAAATTTTACAAAAAACTATATAGGCATTTTGAATGAAAATGCACTTAATTTATTTATCAATTTTGGGAAATATATATAACAGGGGGACACCCCCCCCAAAATGAAATTGATCTTTTTTTTGGAGGGCAGGCCCTTGCAGTACACTCAAAAATTGTTCCTCCGGATCAATCGGTCAACAAAAGCTTTTATTTGCAAGTTTTGACAAGGTTGCATCATGATTTGTGGAAGAAATGTCCTGAACTGTAGCAAACAGGTGACAGGTTTTTCTGCCATATCGTACCTGCCCACACCACACTGAGTATTCAGCAGTTTTTGACCAAAAAACAACATGACCCTTGTGCCCCACCCTCCCTATTCACCAGGAATAAAAAAAGTCCTCAAAGGGAAACATTTTGCCAATGCGGAAGAAGTGAAACAAAAAACAGCAGAAGCACAAAAAGGCATCAAAATTGACGAGTTCAAAAACATTTTGAGCAGTGGAAAAAGCATCTTGATAGGTATATTTCATCAAACGAAGAGTGCTTTGAAGGTGACTGAAGTTTAAACATGTAAAAATACAATTTTTTAAATAAATAAATTCTGTTATTTGGGGGTTCTCCTTCGTGTATGTATGTGTGTGAGACACTATCTTCTCATTCATAAACAGATTCAATACAATTTTTAATAATTTTCAATAAAGTCTTATGCATTTTCGGTAAGCTTCATTTCTAGGTACTTGATAGTTTTGTTGCCATTGTGAAAGACTAGGGGCAGAGTAACTAGTTGAGGAGTTAGGCAGAAAGCTAGGTAAAACAAAAACCAAACAAAAAAGGTATTCATTTGGGGATTGAAGTGTACCAATCAGGGAACTATTTAAGCAGGACAACAGACAGGGCTTGATAATTAAATCGTATTTTAAAAAGAATAAAGGGAAAGAATCAAGGCAACCACAGGGAAGTCAACGCTATTCATTCATACACGGAACATAAGATAACAATATCTAGGTTAGGGAGTGATTGTGATTTCCTATATGCCATATTTGAAGTGCTTGCCTAGTAGGCAGTTGAAAAAATGGGAGCGAACATTTGGTTTGGAGGTTTGAAAGTCTAAAGAAAAGCAGGTGATGACAAGGCCTGAGACTGTCCGGGAGGTGAGGTGAAGTGAGGACCAGGCCAGCAAACCGAAGATGAGTAAGTTATGTAAGACGCGCCACAAGGGGGCTGAGGAGAAGTTGAGAGACTTGAGGCGTGCTCTGCAAATCAGACGGTGCAAATGCTTGGCACTGCAGTTTACCTGTAGGACACAAATCACTTTCGGGCCCTGGGAAAGAACCAATTTATAAGACATTTCATTTGAAAACTACTAATGCTGTAGAGAAAAAACAAAAAATAAAAAACAAAAACATGGCACGGACATTAGAATCCAAGGGCCAAGTTTAAGGGCCACATCACAAAGAACTGAGGGTTATCAAGAGGAAAAGCATTATGGTAGCCTGAGGGAGTCAGAAAGCCTCCATAGAAGAGGCTACAAAGGCACTGAGATGAAAAGAAATGTGAGTTTCCTAGTCTGACAAAGGTGTACAGTACTTCAAGGTAGAACATTCCCGGCAGACAGAACAAGATTTGTTGAAGAATGGTCTGTTTCCTCGTCTGTAAAAGGAGTTAATACCTACTTTGCTCAGCTACTGTAGGGATTAAACAAGAAAATACATGTAAATCATAAAGCAGCATTCTGGTATATCACAACTGCTTGACAAATGCTCTCTCCAATCTGTGGTGTATTTCTTCTGTTATTTGTAAAACAAATTTGCTATTATCCTATCACATGCATTCTTAGGTTATATTAAATTATGTTATTCAAAGGCAAGGAACTGTGAACTTGTCACTCCAGAATCTCTGAAAGCAAAAGTCAGTAACAATGTCCTTAAAATGTTATAAAGCTTTCAGAAAATGTAGAAGTGACAGTATCACACTATTTCCCTCCCAATTCTCCTTTGTTATAGACACGCCACCTAACATTTATGAAGTTTGAATTTTGTAACAATTAACTTTCACCCTATAATTTTTCTAAATGGTTTTAATTGGACTAAGAAAGGTAACAACTTTCCAAAGAAAATACTTCTCTTGAAGGAGCTGTTGCTTTAATAAAGGTACAAAAAAAGTAGAGACAAAACTGCAGAAATTTGTTTTGCAGCTACTTATCTGTCGCGTACCTGAAAAGCTGATTGTTGTCATCAAGGTTCTGATCCCCATCTGCCTTTGATATCTTCAATGACATGATTCTTAAGAAACTTTCTCAACAGCTGGATAGTCTGTTGCCTTGTAACTTCAGGACCAAAATTGCTATTACTTCTTAACAGGCCATAAAGCCAATCCACTGCTTCTCCCGCTGTGAAACAATTGCCATATTTTTTAAAGTGTTGTCTGTGTTTTCTTAGAGGCATTCCTGCTCGAAAAGATGTGGTGACTTCATTCCACTGTAAAAAGAAGAAAAATATTTAAAAAAATTAAACAAAAATGAAATCGTGTACAAATTTGAAATATATCAGGCAAATAAAATACTTTAATTCGCATCTGATTATATCATGAATATTCTTTTTGAGTCAAGATCTCACTCTGTTGCCCAGACTGGAGTGCAGTGACCACAGCCTCAACCTCCAGGGCTCAGATGATTCTTTGGCCCTCCAAGTAGAGATGAAGTCTTGCTATGTTGCCTAGGCTGGTCTCAAACTCCTGGACTCAAGCGATCCTCCCATCTCAGCCTCCCAAAATACTGAGGTTACAGGCATGAGACACCACGCCCAGCCTGTATCATAAATATTCATCTTATCTGTGCTACATAAAATGTGCATCTCACAGAATTATTTTTGTTCATTCTAGTGCTGTAGTAGTATTTTTATATAGTTTGTTTGTTTTTTTAACTACAAGCACCTCATTGGCTGATCAGTTTATTTAGGAAAACTAGAAGAACTGCAATGTTCCTCAATAGAGAAAGCATTTATTCCTGCTTTTGTTCTTAATCTTAACTAATATGAGTAATATGTTGGTAGCACTGTGCTTTTCATTTCATTCTAATTCTCACAATAACATGAGTAGGTACTATTATCTCATTTTTCACATAAAAAAATGAAGCAGACATTAATAATATGACCAAGGTCACACAGCTAAGTTACAATAAGCCTGGGCAGTCAAACCTAGGTTCGAATGATTCTAGAACCTGTATCTTCAACGACTGTGCTGGTCGAACAAAACGTGTGGCAGGCAGGAGTTTTATTGATAAAACACCTTGAAAATTAAAAGGGTTTATGTGCTTACTATAGTACCGCTTTTGTGGAGATTCCTGTCGCGAACATAAAACAGATGGCATAAATTAAGTAAGCTGTAAGCCCATTACATATTTAATCATCCTGTGACCACTATATTTTAAAAAGCTACTGCTATTTTCTAAGCCGTCCTTAAATCAGTCAAACTTCTATGTTTGTGACTGCTCTCAGAGTGAAGCACAGAGTAATGGTGGTGTGAGTAAACATGCTGCTTTCTAAGCGAAAAGCCCTACATCAGAGGTCAACAAATCTCACTTGTAACCCCGATTATGCCACTAGTTAGTGGTGTCACTGCTTATCTAACCCAAGTGTGTTGTATCACAACACAGAATTTAAGGGTTGAACACGCAACGACTCTTCTTTTCCTTTCACACGTCCCCGTTTTATACATTTATTCATCAAGAAACTTATTCTGAGCTGCACTCTCTGCCCTGGCCTGAGGACCCAGCCAAGATGAGGGAAGGGGTCTCTGCACAGAACAGCTTCTCCGAGGTGCGGGGCAATGTGGTGGCTTCCAGACTGGGCTCCAGCGAGACCGCCGGGGCTGTTCTCCACTCCAGCTCGGCCGCCGATTGCTTATGACGCCCTGGGCCTCCCTGCAACATCCCTGCCTCAGAACCGGGACAACAGTACCTGCCTGAGGGCGTGCGCTGCCATGACGAAAAGACTTAAGACGTGCCAAGTCTCGGCAGGCAGTCGGTCAAGGCTGCCTCCTCCTGCCTCCTGCCTGGGCTACTCTGATCTAACTGAGCGAACTTCTACGTAATCTAAAATCCTCGCCGCGCTTCCTGCAGCCCCAAATTCCCACGTCTACACGGACGCACATCACCAGTAGCTTCCCAACTGGCGAGCAGCGGGGTCCGCGCCAAGCCCGCGGCGCCGGGACGAGGCGAATCCTCCTGGCTCCGCCCGACTGCCTGTTTGACCTCGGCGGCCACCGCCAAGGCAGGGCGGATCCGCCGCCCCCTCGCGGCCCGCCGCCCGGTGGGGCTCGCTGGGACGGGGTAGACGGCCGCCCCCCCGCGCAGCCGCTGCCCCCGGGTCGGGCCCGGGGGCCGAGTGGGGGGCGACCCGCGGGTGCCCACGAACAGCAGGCGGTCCCCTCCCGGCTCCCCGCCGTGGGCACACCGCC